AGTTATCACCCTCTTCATAGTTTTAGATTGATAACCTGACAGGAAGCAACTCTCATCACTAGATCAGTGTATAATTTCACGTTCTGAAAATATTATATCTTAGTGTAAAGCCACTGAGGAGGAATTAACTGAAAAGAAATATATCTTCGCTCATATTGTTTACTTTTCTAAATATAAAAAAGCATATTTACTGATGTAGGCAAACGGATAAACATGTTGGTGTGAAATATTTTGTCACTGAAGAATTTGCAACCTCGCCTGATTAACTAGTTCACTAGTTCACTAGAATTTGTGGATTGCATAGTGAATCAGTTTATTCTAAATAAACTTGTAATGACTGCCTTCACACAATGAGAGATTTTACTTCAAACACTAGTTAGAGCGAACCTGTGATGATATCAGTAGTAATGATTTATTTTCTAAAAGCTATCACACGCATTGTTTTATTCGTGCTATTAGTATTTTTATTTAAAACAATATTCCACTTAGTAATTGAAGGGAGATTCCAATTCTACTTATTTCCTGTATTAAGAGTGATATGTATACGTACTGATCCACTCATTATTACTCTGTTGATATATTTGCAATCTCCCATTGTTATGCTGGATAGAACCGTTCAACTCCTGTTGGCATATGGGCTCATATACGGTTGCCTCGATATTGCCTAAATATATATTATGGTAATTTGCTTGCGTGTGGCCAGCAGAGGAGTCCACGACGAACAATACGATCCAGTATAACAGTGGAGAATTACAAGCATATCAACAAATAGTTATAACTAGTGCCCGTTATACAGGAGATGGCTGTGGTGCTTTGGCTTTGGCCTTTGAAGCGATAAGTACGAAGTTCAAGTCACAGTGGGGACAGTTTCACTCACTGGGATGCAGGCACACAAACGTGACAAAACGCGAGTCTTGAATTCCTCTGCTGGCAGTAACCAAGTAAATTACTACAATACAGGTTCACTCATTGGTGGGTGGTCTTAGCATTACTTTGCTATAACTATTCTAATGAACTACATCAAATCTGTTCCATGTACGGATAACTATGGTTGGACAGTTTTTCTAAGCATTCGCACCATTGTTGCTTTTCAGGCCGATCTCAGCTGATATTTGATTTTTATTCAGCTTAACTTTAGACACTGTTAGACACTGTTTAGACATTACTACCACTCGGCGGGCAGTAGTGAGATTCAGTATACGCATTTAATCCTATTTGGGACTCATCAGCTATTTGTACACGCATTTCAGTTGGTCAGAATATCTCCTACATAGTTTGGCTGTGGGTATGACGACGCTAATTGTGTTACTGACTTACGCTGCTTATCGCTCACTTTTCACAAACAACTATACCCAGTCTCAGAGAATTCTTTTTATTCTCTAAGCTTATCTCAGGTGGATTAATTGTCACTTCATTGGCGTCAAAAGTTTAGCAGCGTCTTTCCTTATCATTTTGTTAATATTTTACCTTTTCAGTAAAATAAAGGTCTATTACTGAGTATAAGTATGCACTATGAATATATAAATAGCACAGGTGAGGAGAACAGTAAAACTGATACAATTTTCAACCTAGTACTTTTGAACATAACTAACAATGTAAAAGAACAGAAGGGGAAAAAACTGCAGAGTACACCATGTGATAGATTCATTGGAATAACAAACCACCCAGAATCAGACAGTTTACAAATGATAATACAATACTAATTTGATTATATAAAATAAAAATGCATCTTGTTTAATTAAATTCAATTTGGTTATTCTATTCTCTGATATTCTTGTCCACGCTAAGAAATGTCTTTCGTTATTCGGGTCAAAATTTATTACAAAACATGGAAAAAACTCACTTGTCAAACAGTTTATAATATTTGTCGAAAATATGACAAGATGAAGAATACAATTTGATTAAATGAAGTATAAAATTAGGTCATTCTGTTTTGTGATAAAACAAAACATGAATCTACTGTAACTGAAGTTAATATGAAACCTGACCAAGTTCATATTACTGAAATCTGACACACACCGATTTGTTAGCTTTTCCTGCTAGTTCTTTTTCAATAAGATAAAAATATGTTTCAGTTATTCTGATACTTTGTAGAGTTGTACAAACGCCAATAAAAATCAAGATAAGGAGATATGGTACATACATTAATGCTAAAATCACAATGTGACTGATTTCTTCTTGAACTAAGGATTGTTTCGAAGGTATACCACAATAACTTATGTCTTTCAATGTTACAATTGATCATATTCTTTATGTATGTGCATATATGGTATGCATTTGTATATACTCGCTAGGTTCTGTGATTCAGTTAAAATAAGTACGACAAGAGATTTAGTGAAATGATACAGATTAAACTGCTTGCCACCTAGACTATCAAATTATATATTTTTACTGAACATTTGAAATTATTCATTCCATACAATATCTGAACGAAATAATGACTCCTAATGTCAATGACGCTTATAAGGCAACATGCCGGATACAGGGAATCTAGAAATAGTCATGCAGTGAAAGTTAGTCAAAACGGAGAATTCAAGGATAGTTGATAAGACATGAAATATATAAGAGATCAATCGCGGCTTCAACTAGCTTGGTGATCGTGTCAATGACTGTAGCACTAGGTGACGCGGGTTCGAGTTTCATAGGGGGAATCAGTCTCCTTGATGTTGCAGTTTTGCCTGGTTGACGAGTGCCAAGAAGCACGAAACCTAATTGGAGCAGTTATTTCTACCGATCATCTTCAACCAACTAGCACAGTATTACCATCATACATTTTGAAATTAAAACTCACCGGACACATCAGCAGTAGAGAGTATATATACTTATATCCATGAAAAATGTGTGCATAGTGAATCACAAATATATGTGTAGTGAATATGTACTGATAAAGATACCTTCCGCCTGAAACTATACCAATCCAGACCGGTTTCCTGGTATTTATGTACAAAGCTTATAGTTATGTTATACAGTGACATAAAATTACTGATTAGTACAGGAGGTCATTCATGGCTCGAATAAATCTGTGGTAACGTCACTAATTACAACATTGGGTGGTGCGAGTTCAAACCACAGGCAGGACATCAGTTTCATTGAGGTTGTAGATACACCTTACTGACAAGTGCTAACGAGCACGAACCCCAGGTCCAGGGCTTCCTATCGATTGCTTCCATTCACCTAACATCTAATAATTCCATAGTTTGTCACATAAATTTCTACACAGGTGCTACAACGTTCCTATTCCACTTCATAATTCACTACTCTTCTTCCTGATGAAAAATAAAAATAAAATTTGCCTGTCACTAGTGGAGATACAGAATAAACGAAGCCCTGTTTATTCATTTTAAAGTGTTCTTGGTTATGTTTTTAAAAAAAATTCATCTGTCAGTAAGTAATATTCTGATGAACACCCCTCTGATACAATGAGTGTCATGAACTAGCGAAATATACCACTAGTGAACAACTTGAGTATTTAGAGGCCAGCCAGGCTGATCTGTAGACACCAAAATTGGGAAACTGAAAAACAACTCAGCTGTGAGAAATGTCGTTGGGGATCACGCAATTCTCCAATCATTCATAAATCGATCCTCTGTCAATGCTTTTTTAGAAATACCTAAAGCACTTCTGGCATCTTTTACTAAACTATATACTCAGGTCTTTCAAGTGTGCTAACTGACTTCTGAAACTTACTAAAAATTCTTTAGAGGTTCATGAAATAGTTTTTTCACATCCTAGAACATCGTCTGCCAACACCAAACTGTTCACAGACACAACGCTTTTGGGCTCAGCTGTCACTTCTCGTTTAAAATTTTGTGAGGATCTTTTACTAAATCTTCTTGGTAAGAAGTATATTGTATCTCATCATGTGTTTTGGTTCGACTCCAGTAAATTAAAGCGTATTTCTTAGGAAATTTTAGGGTGGCGTATAGGAACTATTAAATTGACGGGATGCTGCATAATCATGATGCAGTTAGTTTGGATATTTCTAAACTAGATTCCACCTAATATACAAATAACTTGAATCTGTTAGAATAAACCCTATTCAGACCAATTTTCGGCACTATTATCTACTATCAGAACATTGCCTTCAGCAGTTATTTTGAATTTTTGCAGCTGACTGTACAGTCGATCATCTCTTCTTATGCAACCCAGTGCATTCAATAAATATTTTTATGAAATTTCACCAAAATAAGCAATATGTCTATTTTTTTCAATATGGTGCATTCGGATTACACGTTATTCTTTTGGTTGAAAGAGAGATAATAATAATATGAAATATCAGTCCACCGAAGAAGTAATTGAAGTTATATTATTTCAACAGAGTAGCCTTTCACTTACTCTGAGATGTTATAAGTTATTCAGTAATATCTTTAGGAAAAATAAGAAAATACATTCTTACTCTTTGTGTCTTCTAAACTGACTAAAGATTTCAATGACTTTGTGTTGGTTCTTTCGCCATCTGCAAGCAGCTGAAAGTAGTTAGGCCATAATTCAGTGTATCTGAATTCAAATGAACATCAGACCATGTTTGCATACAAATAAAATCTTGTTACGAAGATTGCTCAACTACATGAGGCTTTTTTCATGGTGTCTACAGCCTAAAGTTCAATTTTGCAATTTTTCTGAATTACATTCTATCTTAACATAAGTACTTTCACAGTGTACAACAATGATGAACTATGAGTGATAGATGAATTCGGATTGAGTAATAGTTTGGAAACAAACTGCCATTTCTTGGTTGTTAGGACCCTACGCTGAGTAGTTTAATTGTGAAGCTTTTATTCTCTTTCTAGATAATATCATCAGCATTAACTTCAGTTCACTCCAATTACTCGATAAGGGAAATATTGCCTTTTCGAAATCTCTAGGAAATTCTAACTGCATATGAATGCTCTTAGTTATATTACAATTTTTCTAGGCATTTAGGAAGCCGATTTTTAACCACCTAGTTTGCAAGATATTTTACTTAAAAAATCACCATTATCTTTCATCTTTTTACTAAGGTTTTGGAGGAGAATCAACCTAATTCAACTGTTGGCAGAATCTTAGCCACTGATAAGGATGCTGATCAAAATGGCAAGGTGAACTACAAAATAGAGTGGTCAAATCAGTATAAACACTACCAAAATCTATTCGCTCTAACACAAGATGGAAAACTGATTGCTACACAAAGTTTGGATAGAGAACGTGTTCCAAATGGGTATCACTTCATGGTAAGTCTAACCATTCATGACAGTACTGATTTGCCCTAGCCTTCAATTTCAATATAAGTGTTAACGACTGACCTAATCCGAGCGACTGGTCATCAAGAGAATAAAAAACTGTTCACTCTTCAAAACATTAAATATGGGGAAAACTTACTCAGAGACTACGCCAGCCTGTTTAATAACAAAAATATACTTACATATGTTAGTCGGTTTTCCGAAAAGCTAAACTACCTTGTCAGAACAACACAAATATGACATACAATATCCGTTAACCAAGTCACTGTAACGGTGGAACCTCAAACAGTGAAAGCCTAATATATATATATATATATATATATATATATATATATATATATATATATATATATATATACCAACTGCTTGATGAAAAGGAATCAGACGAAGATGTCAAACACCGCAGGATTTACAGAAATGTTTAGCAGTGATCTACTTGAAAGTTACTAGAAAATACCACGGGTACAGAAAATTTTACCGATGATTTCTTACCTTCAGTGAGTATTTAAAAACCGAGACAGTATTTACTAACTGACACAATAAAAAAACTCTTACATTTTGTGAAATCTAAATCCTTAAAAGCTGGAAAATGGCATCGGACTCATAATAACAATATAATTTACAAAAAGACTTAAATTATTTTATTTGGTGCTGAAAATCTTATGGAAGCGAACCAATTGATGGATAGAGATGGAGAAGACCAACCGAAATGTCATATAGTAACGATAAAAATTCGAGTTATGAAGTTCCTTTCCTCCTGAAAGGTGATACACCTGACATTTACGTAAGTAAATGTGAATCTCTTTGGCCAACCCACATTTCCCCTACATGAAACCTTTTTCCTCAGCCATCGTTTTTATAAACACTAAGCAAGTGATTAGTCATTAGATGGATGTATGAATACTGTTTTTCACTATCACCATTTCAGAAGTTAATATTCTATTACTGTAAAATACTACGTAATTGGGAAGGACACACTAACAACTATTCAAACCACATATCATACTTGCCTCGTAACAAAAGTGTACTTTATGGGTAGTAACGGTAGGCAGTGGCTAGCAGTGGAATCCAGGATGCGCATTTCGTCCTATTTAGGACGCGTCAGCTTGATGTACCTGCCTCCCAGTGAAAGATGTTGTTCCCACCGGGCAGAAATAAAGGAACTTAAGTCGTTTCCACATTGGCCTAATATTTGTTCTCAAAAAATCCCAAATGCTTTTCATAAAACTTGTTTTTGTCAAATTTATGAATGACGGAGAATGTTTGCAGCTCAGGAGAAGGATTTTGATGCTGTTGTACTCTGAGCTGGCTGGCTTATTCATGAAGCTTTCATTTTCATTCCAGATATCTTCAGAAAGAATTGAGCTACTGAAATTTTTCCGCAAGTGGCTTAGTAGCTTGCCCTGATGAACCTGAGTGTAATTTGTTGTTGAAGCTAAGATCTTATCATTTTACTCATATGCTTCTCTTACAGACGGGAATTTTGACAATTTCAAAATATCTGTTGATCGTTGGCTGACCTGAATGTTAAGCTCCATTAAAAGAAACGAGTTGAAAAGCAGTTAAAAAATTAATCAACATCGTTTTCAGTGACGTCATATTGACAAACGAAGAGGAATCAGACAACACACTTGCACTTTTCGAGGAAATGAGAAACTGAAGTATACATAGAACCAACTTATGTGGATGAAATCCTCTGCTACAGCAGCAACGATCCGACAAAACACATCATTTGCATGAAAACACTGTTCAAACTGTATTAAATCAGCCGTATACAGAAAAGAATAAAAAAGTAATTTAATGCCTCATTTTCAGAAGTACGACTGGCTACGTAACTTCATCAAAATGTGTTTGGCTAGTTCAAGGTCAAATAAAAAGTCACCCTTGAAAAATAGCGAGCGGATCGTCTTACGTTACATGAAGAACTTATGCGGGATCGCAACCAGATAAATGAGGTCCTTTAAAATCACTGCAGCTCAAATGCCCTAAAATCTCTTCGCTCTCTGTTATGGCGACCGATAGTAAAAGGAGACAAACGAAACGTTATCTACATAACTAGACTGCGAAAAACATTGCATTGGACAGAGAGATGGCCCACTTTGTATCCGTCTACTTGAAAATCAACTAGCAGTGAAGCGCCATGATATATCTCCTCTCACATCAATTTACGGAAAAGTATAGGCCCCTATTCGACTTACAAAATGACGAAATCATGTATAGATTGAAAAACAAAAGATCTCAGAGAAGTTTAAGAACCTTGACATTTGGAACAGTCAGCGATCAACAAATATATTACCATTGACTGAATCTACCAACCAATAAAAACACAAGAAACAGCAAGAAGGGTTAACTTCACTTGGGCAGGACAACCAATTGAAATACACATGGAGACACCGACAAGATTTTTGCCGAAACAACCACTCACACCAAACGTCATCAGAATAAGCTACTAAGCCACTTTCGGAGAAAATCTCATAGCTCAATTCCCTCAGAAATTCGTCCTAATGGTGTTGTCTGGAATGACAATGAAGGCTTCATGATTTAACTTCCCAACTCGAAAAACTCAACACCATGAATATATACAAAGCTGGATAAGTTTCTCTTCCTTCTACATTTCTCATAATTAAGCGAATGCAAAGGACGCAAATTTTGTCTAGATTATGTATGAATTATTCCAAAATTTGTGCCTAAATAATAAAACGATGACAATACCAGTTTTCTGTTACCCAGCATTTTAAACATCAGACGTACAGAAAAAATCAACGTGGAATCTAGCACACAAGTGCGCAGGCTGACTTTGCCACACTCCACAGTAGTATACAAAGAACATGTGGATAGGAAGACAGTGTTGTCAAAGTAGATGAAGTTATGTAGGAGAATGAAAAATCTGAAGATAAAGGTTAGTTCGAACATTCAAACTTAAATGTCAAAGAGTGAATACTCCTGTCTCATTGTGACCGATTTCCAGTCGTGTCACAAACAGTCATTAACCACTGATTCCTTTCGTCTCAGTGACCCAAACTAAGCGGTCTAAATTGTCCCGCAAGGCTCACACCAAAGGTCAGTGACTTTGTCGACTGATGTCGCTTGTTCGTCTGGCCACCCTGAACCCTTTTCTAACCTAATCCACATTAAAGTAGGTAGTAGCCTGGTAAATGCAGTGCATATTCGGGTGATCTCAGCTGGCTGAAGTTCACAATCTCATCAATCAACCTGCATGTCTTGTTTAGTACCCATCACCTGACCTCAACACTGCTCACATGGTGACTGCATCAAACCCGAGCAAAGCTATGAAGACACCTATGATAAAAACCCTGTAACTACTTCATGCTTTCTAATGTTAACGACCATGTCTCACAGCTGTGCAACAGGAAAGAACTGACTGCAACACAGTACACTCGTCCTTTGGTAAATAGTCGGATATTTCATCAGCCTGTGTCACGGAACACGCAAGTTGGCAAGTGCTAAACGAGCCTTCTCTATCCGAGTTGAAATTTCGTCAGCAATCAACCTGTCCATGCTGCTGCAACTCCCCAAGCAAGTGAGATGATCGATATATTTAACCACTTTACTCCCTATCTTAAATCTAGGAGTAGTTGTAGACCATTCCCGTGCAAAACGCATGTTAAATATCCGCAGATTTCTGCCAGTTGCGTTCAAAAGTTCCTCAACTTTGTCTTCATTTAGCATGACAATATCTTCCGGATACTGAAAGTTAACCAGATGACCTTCAGGGAGAAGGATAGTCCTTGTGAAGCCAGATGTACCTAAGGTTGTGGCCATTGGTAGGAATGATGACAACGGGTATCGATGGCAAACACCACTTGTTGTCTTCAGTTCTGATTACAACTCCTAATAAGCCCTTACATGGCTGCGTGAGTTTGAGTGGAGAGCATTGATCAGAGTTACATACCTTCAGGGTACTCCAAAGACAACCAGACGCCACCAAAATAGCTCATAGTCGACAGAGTCAAATGAAGAGTTTAGGTCAAGAAATATGGCAAGCGTCGGTCACTGATGAGTATGCCTGTGTTTCAGGAGCTATTAGGAGATGAAAATATTATCGGTATACCCTCAACCAGGCCTGAAATCTGCCTGGTTTTCTTCACTTCGCTCTTTTCGGACTCCAGAAAGTCAGTGGATAACTATGGTCCCAGGATTTTAGACAAAATATTAGTCAAACTGATTCCCCTATGGTTGTCACAGGAAGGCTTTTCTCTATTTTAATAGGGAGAGAACAGCGATGGGAACATTTCACGTCAGTGCTATTTCATTATTTAAATACAATATTATTTACTGAAATTTTCCAAGGATTTCGTTTTTACTCTGTAAATGAGTGTTTGTCATGAAAAACGTATATGCTCGGTTTGACGTTGATGAATAAATCAGTTAATTTAATCCAGATTAGAACCAAGAACATCTGTTTGGCTTTTAACGAATATAGTTCCGGTGAAAGCAGATGAAGGCGTTACACTGATTTCATCCAGAGATTGAAAGTACATGAAATATCATAGAAGTATATTAATCAGAACCATGAAAGTTGGATATTTTGGTTTGTCATTGACTGACTAGTCTGCAGTGATAGGTTAATGTGTATCACCCAGCCTTACAAAAAGTTAATCGATGGTGGGTTAGCTTGGCAGTAACTTCTCTTGTCATAACACTAGGTGGTACAACCTCAGATCTCTTACAAGTAATCAGATATTACTATATTCCAAGAACATCCTGCCGACGAGTTAAAAGAAACAGGAATACGATTTTTATGTCTTCCAGGTAACTCCCTTTAATTATCGAATACCACATCCTCCACAGTACATCGTTCTTTATGAATCACGACTTATATCACCATGACTTCCTGATGTTTTCTGAGAAAAGTGTGTAACAGGCCTACATCTCAGTGTTCGGAGAATCTACAGAGGCTCAGTTTTCCAAAGAAAACTTTATCCCCGTAACTAATTAGGACAACCGGTAACCAACCACCTAAAATATAA